GTGGAAAAAAAAAATAAAAAAAGAACAAAAATATATTATGAATTAAAGGGGAACCAAAAGTAACAATCTCATGCGAAGATGTGGTGCGCATTCACCGATTCCACGGTGGCCATGGTTGACCAGTGGCTGCCTCACAGGAGAGGCTGCGCGAGGTCGGCATTCCGTGGGCTTTTGTATGCGCGCGCGTTCCGCTTCTTCTTGAGATAAATGGTGACAATTAAAGAAAGGATAAGGCTGATCACCAGGATGACGAAAAAAAAAAGTACATACAGACCCTTTAGGTACTCTGCGAGGAAGGGGTGGGGGAGGGAAAGCATGCACATGTGTGAATCTGCATCCATATGTGTACACATTTATTTACAAATATTGCGTACACACAAAAATTCCGCGTAAGGAGAGGAGGGAAGCCAAACTAGAGCCTGGCCCCTCGGAGAAAATTGAACCCTACCTTCTTTAATCAAAAAACAACCAAAAACGTAATTATTCAAACTTATTATTATCATCGTAACCAACTCGAAAAAGGCAAAGGCTGAAGTTATATCTTCATTATTCTTCACGCTATATAGTATTGCGGCGGGATGAAAAAAGGGGAAAATGTGATGAGATCTAAGGGTGATATGGGATGGGGGGGGGGGCACACATTGCATGTAGATATGTCCAGACGGAAGTTTACTCTCACGTAAAAACGCATCCTCCAACATACCACAAATGAGTAGGGATCTGAGAAATGATAACCGTTGGGATGATAGACTCGCTGATGCCTGTTCGGGAAGGAAAAAAAAAAAAAAATGCCCATTTTGCGAATGTGCTTTATGCTTATCAAAACGGGGGGATAACAAACGGGGGAAAACGCTTTCCCCCAAAGGGACACTCGCTACGTTTAGCATCAGGGACAGCCTAATTCTACACTTCTCTCCTTTTTAACCTATGAGGTTGAAGAAGAGAAAGGCCAGGGCTTCCGAATCTGAAAATGGTGAGTGAGGGTGAACGTGAACGTGTTAAGTACTCAAAAATGCAAAGTGGAAGTGACCGTGGGGAAAAAAAAAAAAAAAAAAAAAAATGAAGCGGCACACCGCTATCCCTCCCTCCATACGCTCCTTACTCAGGTTAAACTTGTAGCAGTATATGGACCCCGATATGGCTACCAAGATGAAGGACGACGAGCACAGCAGGAGGGACAAAAAAGATCCTATGTTATCCACGATGTAGCCAGAAAAAGGAATGGCGATAAGCGACACGAATGTCATGATGATGGTGTATACATTCGACACATAAATATTAATGTTAAAGACAAACAGGTAAATGTAAAAAAAGTAGTTAATAAAAATGTGCATAATAGACAACAAAAAAGCGTAAATAAAAATGAAGAAGAAAAAATAAAATGTGAAAGAGGAGCTGAATTTTTGTATCCCTTTATAAATACTCAAAATTTTATTTTTCACTCTGCCATTCCTTTCATCTACTCTACTCAGGAAACAAGATCCCGCCTCGTCCATCTCCTCCGGCAAGTCCCAGTCGTCATAGTAGTCAACACTTCTGTTACAATCGTCATCGTAGTTAGGGATTAACAAAACGTTCCTGCTTTGTTCTTCACTCTCCTGGGGGTCTGCATTTTCTTCTTCCCAGCAGAATTTCTCACTGTCCACAAGGTCTTCATCCGTCGCTATGTTCATTTCCCCCCCCTCGTGGGCTCGATCCTTGGTATACTGGTGATGGGGTAGGTGGCTGTGTTCTTCTGCGTCCGCATAGGCCGCTTCCCCGTATGGTGGGTCCACAAAGTGCACAGAGTCCCCCTTGGCCAACCTCCTCCTTTGCTTCTTTACGCAGTTGGGAATTCCCCCTCTCCTCTCTTCTGTTTGCACGCTTCCCACGTGCCCACCAGCGTCGTTCGTGTGTAGCTGGCCCTGATCTTCCTCATCGGTCTGACTGGCGGCCAACTGACTAGCCGCCAACTGGTTAGCGTCAGTTGTACCCTCACACAGGTCGTTGTCCCCCCTGGGGCCTGAATTGGCCAGACTGCCCAGCGACTCTATACATATTTTGTACGGCTTCATGGTGTAGCTGTGGTTTTGCTTCCTGCTAAAGGATGGAGAGCAAAGTTGATCACCAAGTTCTCCCCGTTGGCCCAAATGCCCACGTTGACCGCGTTCTCCATACACCCCCCTCGGTGTCATGTCTGTTTCGCCATGGGAATTGTCCATCACCTTGTAGGTACTTTTCACTTCGAGATTTTTATCCGCAATTTCCAAAATTCGAAGTTTGTTTTTTCTGAACGTGTTCAGGCGAAAATAATCATAAAAAATTGATTTCTTCAAATTCATATAAGCACAAAAGCTGATCTTCACATTTTCATCTTTACACATATCAATATGAACCAAAATATTGTCAATATTCTTATCGACCGAGTAAAGATAATAAGTTTCCTTGTGATAAAAGCAAACATATTTGTAATTGTAAAAAATTTTATGCATGTTCGTCCACAGATTTTGCTGATAAAACCATTTGTACGTAAAAACCAAAATCATTAACAAACCAAACATGTCGATCACCAGGAAAAGAATTATATAATCGCTGATGTCTGTGTTAGAGTTGTTGCTTGTAACTACGTAGTTGAGAGAGTGAGCGAAAAGCTTAAACAGGCTGTTCATTAAGATTAGAAGAGATGTGATAACTCCTATGTTCACGTAAAAAATGCAATACATGATTCTCTTTTGGTATATTTTTATGTATCCACTGCATATGGAGCTGATGATAATGAATAGGTAAAGAAACTTGAGGTACTTCCTTTCGTATGTGTAGGCTGCATCTCGGTCGCTACTCTGTTTGTCTTTCCCCCCTTGGCCGTTTCCCCCTTCCGCGTTCCCCGCTTCACTGCCCCCCGTGGGTCCATTCATAAGGACACATTCCACTGCGCTTTTGTGGAGCAGCCCCACGCTGAGGAACTCCCACGAGTTGAGCCTTTCCTGTAGGTTCTTCTTAAAATAAAAATTTAAATCCCTCCTTTTTGCGAACACATCATTTGACGAAATTGTTCTCTTCTGGTTTGAGTAGCTCCCCAGTGATAACCCCGCAACTGGGGACATCGCACGCCTGGACATGCTCGTGTCTACCCAGCTCGTGTCTACCCCGCTCGTCACTACATGCAAATCCGTATTCCTCATTTGAATATCACTCAGCAGGAGGAAAATGATAAAGTGAGAAACCAAGTTCACGATGTAGAAGCTGTTCACAACGTAGTTCTTTTTCCCCAGGTCAAAAATTAAAATGAAAATGTAAGTCACTAAGGAGCTGCAATAAATCAGCGACAGGATGTTACTGTACAGGTAAATCGACTGGCTGTTTCGGTCCTTCGTTTCCGCGTAGGTGGCATTCGTTTCCGCATAGGTGGCATTCGTTTCCACGTAGGTGGGGTTCGTTTCCACGTAGGTGGCATTCGTTTCCATGTGGGTGGGGTTCTGCTGCATGGCTTCCTGCGAGACAGTCATTGATGGGGGCACAGCGCTCCCCCCAGGAGGTTTATTAACGAATGGAAATGCTGCGGACGCTTCAAACAGATTAATCTTCACCCCTTCCCCTTTTGTTGCACCCCCGACTTGACTTTCCCTTGGGGGGTAATTCCCCCCTTGATGAACCACATTGTCAATGTCGATCTCGTTGCGCACCCCAGTCAGCATAAACAAAAAGGGAAACACATTTTTAAAAATATGTGTGGAGCAGGAAAAGAAAAACACACATATCAGCAGCAACAATTTATTCTTCCTCGAGAAGTACACACTGCATATCTGGTACTCCGACATGGTGCTCTTCGTTTGGGTAGAGGGTTGACGGGATTGGCCGGGTTGCTCCTATCCGTTGTGACGGTAGCGGGTGCACGGCTAACACGTTCCGCAGAGGTCGCAGTTACAAACGCGTGTATGGTTTGCGTGCGTGCTGCGTGCCTGCCTGTTGGTTCAAGACCGACCCTCCACTCGTACCATTTTTTAGCGGCGCGGCACCTTCTCCGGATCCGTCAGTTTTCGAATTTGGCCGCTTCTTTCGCCCCTGCTGCTTCGCTTCACTCAATTCATGGTGCCGCCTTCAGCGCCTACGTCGCTCTCGGTCGGTTGCGCGAACACTTTAATTTAAAAAAAAAATTTTCCTTCTTTCTCTTTTATATGTGCCTACTGGACGATTTATATTTCTCCCCCCTTGTTAATTCAAACGGGGAAGGTAGATGGTCCTTTGGGGAGAAAAAAAAAAAAAAAAATGCTACACTTGGCGTTGTGGGGTCATCACTAATGCTTCGTCCGCGTGTACTACAACTCGATGGTTCGTTCGGCCTGCTTCCCCCGTTTTGTTGGTATAACTTTTGTTTTTTTTTTTTTACAGTCCCTTTGAATCTACGTCAGTGAAGAAATGTGCTTTGTGTAGACAAGCCCCAAGTCGATTGCAGGAGCTGGTGGGTATGTGGAGGAATGCGCAAGGGATTGTGGAGAGAGAGAAAAAAAAAAAAAAAAAAAACAGGAGAAATGCCTACTAACATGTGCATACACATGACTCAAAAGGGATAACTGTGGGGAAGCTCAATTTAAAGGTAGGGGGAACAAACATACCAACGTGTTCATCCTGGGTACATAACAAATGTATATGTATGCTTGCTTATTCGCGTGACGGGGCGCACATTTGACGCACTTGCGAACTCCAGTTCTGTTGCGTTTGGGTGTCGCCGCAGAATCGAATCCCTCACGGTGATAGCGCAGGAGCAAGGCCGAACAAGCACATATATATGGCTGGGCGCTCGGATTGATATTGCTTATAAATACACGCACATGTACACCCACAAGTATATTCGCATAAGGCACCTTTTCAATCTCGTGACATGAACCATGGCAGGCCCAAACGATTAAGTAGAGACCGCATTATACATAGCCGCCCCAGGGAGGAGGGCATTTTTTTTTTTTTTTTTT